AGTGAACTGTTACCAAATCTTTCAAGGACCAACTTCTAAGTTCTAAATAATAGTTGTCAATCAAGAGAGGAGTAACCAGAGATATAGTGGGTCTATATGTCTTTTATCTAGTTAATGTGGATTTGAGACAGACAGTCAGGACAAAGCAGGAAGCCCATCTCTACATTCTAAATTGCTCATAGCCACCAGGGTGCATCTCTGGGCTACAGCGCTCATTGTTCTGGCTCCCATCCTGTGAACCATGCATATACCTGTCTTGTCTTTCAAGATCAGGTAGGCATCACAGACCTGAGATAAAGAGAAGTCTCATGGAATGCATCTGCACAGGAGCTTTGAGAGCTCTCCCAAGGGGAGGCAGCTGTTGATATGCAAACTAAAGAGTTCACATATTCCTTCAGGACAAAGCACTGCAAACTCCTGAAATCAATTCTGCCTTTAATAGAGCGACAATGGGTGATATAATAAAATAATAATCTTATGAATCACATCTCATTAATTTCTCAATCATCTTTCCTCAACAGAAAGATAGCTGGGAGTTTCTATTCAGCTATCTTGCTCCACGCCCACCTCCCACCACTTTCTCAAATTCTGAGAAGGTTACTATAAAGACTTATTCATGTCTCATCATATATCCATTAAGGATATCTGTTGTTATTCCATGAAGGGACAACTTGTTTAAACAATACAATTTGTTTGAAATTTAAAATTGTTGATTTCATTATAGCTTGTTAGCATAATATTTTAATGTGGTATTATCTTATGTGATTTAAATATATATCACCATAAGCTAGTTAGACAATAATGTTCAAACAATACCTAGTTTGTGAAGACATTAGTCATTTAATTTTTTATTTAATTATTATAGGTACATAGTGTCTGTATTTTTTATAGTGTATATGTGATGCTTTGATACAGGCATATGATATGAATTAATCAAATCAGGGTAACAGAGGTATCCATCACCTTAGGCATTTAATATTTCCTTTTATTAGGAACATTATAATTTTACTCCTTTAATTATTTTAAGGCATATACTAATTTATTGTTGATTTATTGTCTCTGTTGTACTATCAAATATTGTCCATTCTATTTAAATATCTGAGTATATTTTTCACCTATTAGCCATCCCCACTCGATCCACCTTCCCCCACAACCCTCCCAGCCTCTGGTAACTAATATTATATTCTCTGTTTCCATGAGATCACTTGTTTTTAATATTTAGCTTCCATATATGAGTGCTACAAGGCAAGATTTGTCTTTCTATGCTTGGCTTAATTAACTTAACATAATGTTCTCCATTTCCATCCATGTTGTTGCAAAAGGCAGAATTTCATTCTCATTTGTGGCCATATATTATAATATTCCATTATGCATATATATCACATGTTTATCCATTTATTCATTGATGTATACTTAGGTTAATTACATAATTTAACTGTTACAAATTGTGCTGCAATAAACATGAGAGTGCAGACATCATTTAAATGCACTAAATCCACCCCCACCCCCATTAGGATATATAATCAGCAGTGGGATTGTTGGGTCATATGGAAGTTCTATTTTTAATTTTCTGAGGAACCTCCATGTTGATTTCCAGAGTGGTTGCACTAATTTACGTTCCCAGTATCAGTGCATAAGGTTCCTCTGTCTTTTTTCCACATCCTCAAAAGCATTCATTATTGCCTGTCTTTTTTATATGAGCCACTGTAACTGTGATGAGATGATATCTCCTTGAAGTTTTTATTTATCTGATGACTAATGATTTTGGTATTTTTTCCTGTACATGCTGGTCATTTGTTTGTCTTCTTTTGAGAAATAAGAATGAGAGTATTGACACTTACTTAAGTGTTCAGATATGGAAAGAATAACACACTTTTGGTGAGATGAGAATAGGTCTTCCTTTTATCTTTTGCATCATAAACTGCAATTCCCTCACAAGCTGTGTTTGTTTGGATCTTGTCTCATTTCATTTCTACCCTCCTATTCTTTGGGATTTGCTTCTTCTCCTGGGGTTTGGAAACTATACCCTGGATGCCTGTTCTGGCTGGCTCCATGCTAGTGTGTGACAAATGAGAAAAAAGGATTGAGAGGGGGAAGGAAAAAAGGTAGGATGTGAAGAAAAGGGAAAGGAGAAAAGGAGAAATTCCTCTAGATTTTTCAGTTTTCATTGATGTGAATGCAGCCACAGCAGACACTTGGTGTCTTCCTCCAGCCTCACATGGTACTCTCTGCAGAGTGGGAGCAATAGTCTGGCATAGCCCCCTTTGGCGTCCAAAGCCCCTGCTCTGTGTGCCACCAGAGGTGGGAAAACTGCTGAGTCCTAACCCAGACCCAGAGGCCCAGACACACTCAGAGTTTTGTCTCTTCCACAAGGGTGTAACACCAGCCGACTGCCCTGCTTCCCCTGAGATCTGAGGTTCTGCTTCACTACCTCTTCCCTGTTGCCCTCTGACATCAGGAGCAATAGTTCCTTATTCAGGGGTTAAAAATCTTTAAGTTATAGAAAATGTTGGAAAAACTCTCATGGACAATGGCATAGGCAAAGAGTTTATGAAGAAGACTCCAAAAGCAATAACAACAACAAACATAAATAAATGGGCTGTTCAATTTAAAACCATCTGCACAGCCAAGGAAACTTTCAGAAGGGCAAAGAGACAGCCTACAGAGTGCAAGAACATATTCTCATGCTACACATCCAGTAAAGGGCTGATAACTAAAATCTAAATAAAATTTGGGAAAATCAGCAAGAAAAATCAAACAATCCTATCTAAAAGTGGGCTAAAGACATGAACAGAAACCTTTCAAAAGAAGATAGATTAATGGCCACAAAACATATGAAAAAATGCAAAAATACTCAACATCTCTAATCACCAAGAAATGCAAATCAAAACCACAATGACAGATCACTCATCTCCAGTAAGATGTGCCTTTATCAAAAAGTCCCAAAGCAGTAAATGTTGGCGTGGACATGGAGAGATAGGAACACTCCTACACTGCTGGTGAGACTGGAAACTAGTACAACCTTTGTGGAAAGTAATATGGAGATACACCAAAGGGATACTAGTATAGCTGCCATTTGATCCAGCAATCCCATTACTGGGCATCTATCCAAAGGAACAAAAGACATTCTATAAAAAAGATATCTGCAGTCAAATATATATAGCAGCACAATTCACAATTGCAAATATGTGGAAACAAAGCAAGTGCCCATCAACACATGAGTGGATTAATAAAATGTGGTTACATGTATACCATGGAATGATACTCAACTACATAAAACAATGGTGATCTAGCACCTCTTACATTATCCTGTATAGAGATTGAGCCCATCCTTCAAAGTGAGGTATCACAAGGATGGAAAAGCATGCACCACATGTACTTGCCATCAAATCAACACTTAAGTGCTTATAGAGTAATAACATTCACCAGGTGTTGGACAGATTGTTGGGGGGAACAGGGAATGAGTATATGGACCCTTAATGGGTGTGATGCACACCGTCTGGGGAATGGAGACACTTGAAGCTCTGATTCAGGTGGGGCAATGGCAATATACATAACCTAAACATTTGTACCCCTACTATATGCTGTAATTGAAAAAAATTAAAGCAGTAAATAAAAAAAAATTATAAAATAAAAATAAATACACAATGTCCCCTTTGTGCTCCTTCAGGCCTTTAATAACTAACATTCCTTCTATTAAATCCTGCTGGGCATTTGCATTCCTAAGTGGACCTGAATGATAGAACACAAAAGACAGTGTGGGCCAATTTACAACTGATGAATGCTCTGAAAATGCTCTAAATTCATACATCAATACCAATACGATTACCATTAATCCAGCAACATTTACTCAGACATCCATTTAATAAAAATATAAAGAAAACTTATTATATGCCATTGATAGTGAAACAGAAGTTAAATAAACCCAGGCCTCAAAGATTTCATTTAAATATCCTCTGAGTACATCCTTAATGTCAGTGAGTATAAAATGAGAAAAAAATAATCTCATTAAAGTTTGAGGTAAGCAGTATGTAAAATGTAAAAATGAGAAAACCAAAAATTGAAGAAGTTACATTACAAGACAAATTAAATCTTCATTCAAATGTGTATAATGCAATGAGAAAATTGACATAAGTCATATTGGAATTATAAAGAAAGCATCAATCATGTGTATAAAACAGGAACAAATAAAGAGATATGCTTTAGATGTTCAAAGAAAGGGTAAAGTAAAAACCATTTCAGCAAAACCAAGGACAAATAAAAAGAACATAAACAAAGGTTAGAAGTCCATTTATTAGTGTCAGTAAGCATATCATTCACAGTGCATTTTAAAGTTAGCATGAAGATAAAATGAAAAGATAAAGTCAGAAAGAGGCTTAATTCAGACATGCTTCTATTTATAATAATGTTTTCTAAACATTTTAAAGTTAGCATGAAGATAAAATGAAAAGATAAAGTCAGAAAGAGGCTTATTCAGACATGCTACTATTTATAATAATGTTTTATAAATGATTACACGAATATATGTTAATATATGTGTGTATATTTACATACACAGTAGAACAAGAACTAATTATGTTCTAGCGATTATTCTAAACTCTGTACATGCTTCCAGCTTCTATAATTCAATTTGTCTAAGATTTCTGTGAAATAACTATACTTTTTTCATTACTCAGATAACATAGTATTCAAAGTTCCAAAAACAATGGATACTGCAACAATTACAACAAAATAATAATGGAATAAGAAAATACAAATGAACATAAAAAGATAATAAAGATATATACATATGTGGAATTCATACTCTACATACACTCTGCTTGACAGTGATGTGATCTTCAGTGTAAAATGACAGAAATTTTATTTCGAAAGGAATCATAATTTCCATAATGGATTTATGAATATTTTAAATGTGTGTGTCTTAATAATACTATTACCCTTAACTATTTATAACATTAAAGATCATGCAAAGTTTGACACATGTTAAAAATCTTCTTTAAATTTAAATCACAATATAAGCAGACCAAAAAGACAGGTGCATAACTACCAAGTTCTTCACTCCTCTCCGTTCCAACACTGCAACCCTAATATTGACCCCTCATCTGTCTCCACTTTGGAATCCTGACTCCTGCTATAAAATCCTCTTTATGAATACATTTTGGATCCCAACACTTTCCTGAGAGCCTCCTTTACATCCTTGTTCCTCAGGCTGTAGATCAGGGGGTTCAGCATGGGAATCACTACAGTGTAGAACACTGTGGCCACTTTGTCAGCATCCCCACTGGTACCCGAACTGGGCCGGCAATAAATAGAAAGGATCGTCCCATGGAAGACCACAATGGCCGTGAGGTGGGAGGCACAGGTGGAAAAAGCTTTGCGCCTTCCCTCTGCAGAGCGCATCCTCAGGATGGTGATGACAATAAACAAGTAGGAAGGGAGGATGATCACAATGGTAATGACCTCATTGACAGTAGCCACTATGAACAACAGCACCTCATTCACAGTGACATCAGAACAAGCAAGACTTAAGAGAGGGGGTAGATCACAGAAGAAGTGGTTAATCACATTGGATCTATAAGATGGGATTTCAAGGGTTAAACACAAATGGATTAGAGAACACAGCGTCCCACAGAAGTAGCAGCAAGATACCAGCCCCACACAGAGCTTCTGAGACATGGTGACCATGTACAGCAGTGGGTTACAGATGGCCACAAAGCGGTCATAGGCCATCACTGCCAGCAGGAAGACCTCAGTGACTGCAAATGAACAGAATAAGTATAACTGCATCATGCATCCCAGGAAGGAGATGGATTTGTCTCTGTTGAGGATATTAGCCAACGCCTTTGGCACGATGATTGAGGAGTAGCAGAAATCTATAAAGGATAAGTGGCTGAGGAAGAAATACATAGGGGTATGAAGCCCAGAGCTCACATGAATCAGTAGTGTCATACCCAGGTTGGCCAAAACTGTGACTCCATAGATGAGGAGGAACATCAATGTGAGTAAGACTTGTAGCTCAGGGGCATCTGATAGTCCAAGGAGAATGAACTCTGTCACAGTGGAGCAGTTTTCTTTGCCCATGTCTCCGCATTATTTGAGTTTGGAGAAAAAAGAACTAAATGTCATTCACCACTTTATGATCTCAGCTTAGTTGTGTCTGTCTCCTATAAAAAGATATCAGATGAAGTGGGACTATTAAGATATCAAAAAAGAATATGATTTTGGTGAAATACAAGAAAGGTTCAGACATTGTATAATTGTATAATACAAATGGATTAAAACCCACAGGTCTACGATCCAACATAAACATTAACATTTATATGAACTGATATGATACTTGTAATTAGTTTTTCACAACTGAGAGTTCATCATTTAATCATTAAAAAAGAGGTAAAAGCATTATTTAATTATCTTTATTGCTTTGTGAAATTTAAATTTTTCATTCCAGGAAAATTCCAAATATTTGGATGCTAGGAAATATTTTTTAAAAAATATAGTACATTCTCTCAGTTTTCCACTGAAGTAATGGGAGATATGCTTGCTTAAGTTTGTTAACCCAGAAGTGTTCATACATTGCTATTATATTTTAGAGAGAGAAAGTAGTTTGGCACTCTATATTAACATTTTCTCCATAAAATATGCATTGTGATTTTGTTAATTACGCTCTTCAATATCAGCCATGGCTCAGGGAATTGGTACTCATCACTACAACATTATCGTAACTATGACCCATCAAACTTACAAAGATCTATTTTGTAAAGGAATTTACTGCTTTTCATTTGTTTGAAAGACTGATCAAAGATGTCCATAGAAAAATTATTTTTAAAATGTCTGATGCCGCCTTCCATAATAATTTGTGATATTAAGACATAGAAATAAAGTGTCAAGCAATAGGAAAATGTTCAAAATTATACTATATATGTGATGAAAATATGCAGCTAAATAAAATAATTTTGTATGATTCTTGGTGATATAAAAATCAACAAGATAAAACAAAGGTTAAAAAGCTAGAGTATATACACAAAATAGCATGTGCAATGCACACACACACTGCATTGCATATTTAATCCTTATAGCATCCATGAACATAAATATTTTATTCCTATTGTCATTTAAGGGAATTTATAATTTGCTTGAATTCTCAAAATATAAGCATTATGTTGTAGAAGGGAGAAGGAGGGTAAAATTTTTTCTAATGAGGGACTCATACATCCCAAGCCTTTGACACACAATTAGTGTAGTAAAAGGATGAGTGGCCCCTCCTTTGTTCTCTGTTTTCCCAACCTTCTGTAGATACCTATGTGACTCTACAGGCACCAGTCAGGGCTATTCATGGAGAAAAAAAGAACTGAACTAGAGAGCAAAAGAGCTGGGTATTTTTTCCAGTTACAACCTATTTCAAAGATGCACAGGATACACATACTCCCAAATCCAACTTTGGGAACAAATAATTGTGTGATAATATGGTTTTCTCTGTTCAAATGACAAGGAAAAGTGAATTGTTTGTCTTTCCTTGAGTTCAAAGCTGTTGTAATTTTGAAAACCCTTTCCTATTTTCATGTCTAAACATGACAAATCAGGATATTAATTGCTCATAGAGCAGTGTGTCTTTTCCCATGTTGACTGTGATTCCAATAGCATATTTGTCAGTGTCTGGAGACATTTGTTTTTTACAACAGGGAGTGGTGCTCTGACACATAATGCAGATGCTGCTAATGTTCTACTATGCTCACGAGGGTACCAACCTCACAACCTCTTGCCCCCATCCCACACAACCTAACATTATCATCACCAAAATGTCTATAGCACCATAGTAGAGAAACCTGCCATAGAGACATTTCAGAGGGCTTTGCACAGAGCTAAAATGGTCACCTTTTGTATCCTGCCTCTGGGTGTTTCACATGTCCATGTCCCTCCATGAGCAGTCCTATAGGATTCTCACTGCCACCCTCAGCATCAGGGAGACAGTCCAGATGGTCTCTGTGCAGTCTTCACCATCTGGCATGGATGGAGTTAGGGTAAGAGAGAGAGAAGAGGGAGGGAGAGAGAAAGCAAGCATTCATCCCAATTGAGTCACACTGTTTCCCTATCTTTGATGTTTGCTTTTGCAATTGTTCCCATTTCCCATCAAGTTGTTTCTTAATACATAAAGAAAACTATTTTCATTAAGGAGTGCTCAATACATGGCACTCCTTAAAATAATTTCTAGTTAAGAGGAGGATAAAACAGATATATATTTTTTAATTATCTGATACTACTGCCCTCCTTTGCAATTCAGTTTTCACCTACATAGGACTGTAATAAATTACCAAGTGAGAAAAATACATACAGTTTCCATCTCCCTGAAGATGTTTTTCATTTCCATTCCTCTAATTACAAAGTATAGTCCAACCAACCAAACTGCTGGACAGATGTTGCTTCCTGTTTCTGAAAATGCTATGATGGGCAATGCTATGATCTTTATATTCACGTGTGTGTGAATCTCTGGGGCCACATTCCACAGCGTCCCAGAACAACCGCTGATCTCTGTGGAATATAAACAAGGTATCAAGGAAACCACTCTACCTCGGGACTTCAACAATTATTGACCACCGTGGAATATAAGCAGGGGGAAACAATCCAACTTGGTACATGTTATTATAATCTAACAGAGTGTATATTCAGAGTCCATGATGAATTGCATCCAAGTACTGTCTCTGTAAGCCAGTACTCACATTACCTTTATTAAATATACAAATAGTTCTTATGAACTTTTTCTCCCTTATACTCAAAAGCTCCTTCCTAAAGGATATAGGGTCTGAAGCCACACAAGAGATCTTCCACATACCAGATTATAAGGGTGGGGGTAGTAAATCTCTTTTTACTGAGAATAACAGTGATTTTTCACATTTACTGAGTATTCCCTATGTGTTAGGGACTACCTTAACTACAACTATCAATATATTTCATCTTTATTAAAACAAGAAAGGTCAGTACTCTTATCCCCTTTTACAAATGAAGTGACTGAGGCACAGCAGATGTAACTTTCCCAAAGTCACACACAGACCCCCGGGTAGAAAGACGCCTTATGCTGGTGATTGGTTTGTACCACCCATATGACTCTGAGGAAGAACATAGCTTCACAGAGTCTCTGGGGTGACTCACTCCCTATTGAATACTGCAGGTAATTAAATGAGAATGTCTCAAGGATACTACTCAAGTCTGCTCCTTTATTGACTATATACAGCAATTTCAAATTGTACTATTAGTGTTCAAACCACCACCTATTAATATTTGCCTCTAGAGAAATCAAAAACTTCAAGAAATCTATAGATGCAATGCGGTACAGGTAACCAGGTGCTCCCATTTCTCAAAATTCTATATGTGTTTTCCTAAAACTGATCTATCTGAGAATTCCCTATGTTTGGGATGCTTTCTGGTTCCCCTTTCCAACCAGAATTCTCATATTCCCTTTCCTATCATTCTTCACAACAAGGCATTTCTCTAGTACATTCGCATCTAACTACATGAATTACTCTGATGAGGAAAACAAAGGCATCCAAAGTCTAAAACATAAGCATAACTTAAAACGTTGTGGTCCACCAGGTCTGAAGATTTTTTTTAATCAAGACACTTCAAATCATGGTATGACTTCTTGTATCTCTGTAGCATGTGCAAATGTCTTTATTGAAATGAATGGCATTTGGCATGTATACTAGCCAATATAACCATTACCAATTGGCTATATACTATGAGCATACATATGATATTTACATGTGTAGTATAGTATATATACTCACATATACAGCAGAATGATGAAAACATTTTTTAATACCTATTCCTTTTGTTGGTACTGCACCACCACATTGTTGTCACAACATGCCTCCCCATAAAAGGAGAGAGTGTTATGCCATAAAACTGAAAAGCACATCTATATAAAGAACACTATTGGCAGCAATGCCTTATGTCGCCTAAGCAACCCACTCATAGTAATGTTGCTTTTCTTATCTATCTTAGACTTACAGAGATGGGAAGTGATTGTAAAAGTTGGTTTAAATGTAAATAGTTGATTGGAATCAATTTTATGATCACTATCCATAAATGGAATCATATCATTAATAAATTTGAAGTGCTAAGCATTTGGTAAATATATTTAAATCACATGAGATAATAAATTAAAAATTGTATTAACAAGCTTTAATAAAATCAATAAATTTTTAAAATTGCATTATTTAACAAGTTGTCTCTGTGTGAAATAACAACAGGTATCCCTAACAGTTATAGGATGAGATTTAGGGAAGTCTCTGTTGTAGTAACATTCCCAGAATTTGATAAAGTATGTGGGGTGGGGGAGAGCACAATAACTGAATAGAAACCTCTAGCTATCTTCCCTTCACATGAACACCTAATGCAACAACTATCTGAATAAGGAACCACCTTCAGAAGGACCACATATCATCTCACCAAGGCAGTACCATGGGAGTGTGCAAGAATCACAGCATCACGGGTCTCGGGGCTACTCCACAGCTGATACACTTGTAGTGATTAGAGGCTTAGATTAGAACACTGAATTCCTTTTGAGAATCTAGAAAGCCTTCTCAAGTAGGATGTGTTCAAATAAGCCCTCACAGTGAACATTAAAATAAATATTTAACTCTTCACTGGCTAAACATGGACATACATCCACAAGCATCAAGAACATACCAGAAGGCTTGACCCCACCCAATGATGTAAATTAGATACCTGTGACCAATCCTGGAATGATGGAGACTGATGACCTTTGAGACAAAGAATTCAAAATAACAGTCCTGAACAAGCTCAATGAACTTCAAATCAAGAGAGAGAAGCAATTCAGAAGCCTAGCAGAAATGTAACAAAGACATCACAATAATTTTAAAAAAAAGCAGAAATTCTGGAGCTTAAGAGTTTTATTGAGTAACTTAGAAATGCATCAGAGACTTTAAACAACACACCTGGCCTGGAGGGTAAAGAATTAGAGAGCTTGAAGACAGGCTATTTGGAAATGCACAATCAGTCGAGAAAAAAAGAAAAAAGAATGAATAAAAATGAAGCATGCCTACAAGATTTAGAAAATAACCTTCAAAAAGCAAATCTTAGAGTTATTTGCCTTAAAGAGGAGATAGAGAGAGGGATTGGGGTAAAAAGTTCATTCAAGAAATAATAACAGAGAACTTTCCACACCTAGAGCAAAAATTCAATATTCATCAACCATAATTTGAAAAAGTGAGTGATTCCTATGAGAATATAACAAAGCAATCTAAAACTTATTGGTTAAAAATAAGAACCAC